TTTGCTCAGCATCGATATGTTTTATGTACCTCCTCAGAAAAGTTAATTTAAAAAGTCACCATAAGGTTATAATGCTAGATATGCACATGAAAATGTGTAAAATCGTTTTCTCTACAAAATGTGATCATAACGAAGTCGAAAAAGCAGTGGGCCAAATGCAGTGGAAAAGCGGGCCCCCTCCTTTAGTGATATTAAAAGGATGAAATTCAATTTTGAAATAACAAAATCTATGACGTTAGATGATCCACTTTTTGTTACCATATTTGATAAAGAATGGGAAGAATTTTTAAAAAATGGAACCATTATAGGTGATCAATTATTAACAGATTCTGATAGTAAATTATTAACAGATTTTGATGCATTGATGCGATTTTATGAGAAATATATTTATCATAAAGAACAAAGTTAATTTGTAAAACTACTATTTCGATCCAAGGGTATTTCTTGTAAATAGTTGAGCGTTGTCAAGATTACATCCTCACCGTCTCCAACGAGCAGCTAGAGAGTTGCAGTTTTCATTTTATGAAAAAGTACACCTCAAAGATTATTCTTCAAACTCCGAACCATAGTAACGTCGTAAAGCTGAGCAGAGATATGTTATTCCCTTGACTGAAAGCATGCTGTGCTCTTTGTCCTTCCTGATGTATATGTCCGTCATGTTCTTTTCTATTCTTCTTACGTCATGTTCTGAGCTGTACTACTGACGTCATTACTCTCTTCCATCTGTTTCTCGTATGTTCAACTATATGTAAATTTTATATATAAATAGCTGTGTTTTTAAGTGTGTTTTCGTGTGATTATTCGGATTATTAGCTCGTGACAAATAAAGTGATAGAAACTATTCAAGTTAATGTTTGGAATGAGCGTCAAAAGCTGCATCAGATGATGTGTCTTTGAAATTTTTTAAAGAAAAGAAAAATTTTGTCAAAATTTGCTTCTAAGCTGAAAATAAAAAATCGAAAAATTGTCGAAATTTTTCTTCTCTTTAAAAAATTTCAAAGACATATCGTGTGATGCGGTGTTTAACGATGATTCCAAATATCACCTTATTTTTGTTTTTAAGTGAAGTTCGGATGCTTAAAATCTCAGAAAACTGAAGGGTCGCGGTCGGTCTGCCATCTTGTTTTCAACTTTTGAAACTTTTCCGCCGCTTTTAAAATAAAGTTTTTGACTCAGTTTGTGGAAAATTGAATTGTCTGTCGCATGTGAGCTTCGAATTTTTAGCGAAATTCTGTTTGGAGGATCAAAAGTGGCATTTCTCGAAAACGTTGACCCTTCAAAATCCCAATTCTCCATTTGATGTGGGTTTTAAATAGTCACTTCCTACTTCAGAAAAATTAGAAACTATATGATTTTGTTCAGTTCTTATCAGGCGTTCGAATGAGATGTTGCTCGAACAGAACGGACAAATAATGGCGGAGTTATAGCTAAAATATCACAGATTTTTCGCAAATCGACGATAGTGCTCATTTTGTAAATTCTATAACTCAGTCAGAAAGGACCAAAGAGTTTTTCATAACCACAGTTTTGATAGTAGAATCCGAATATGAAATAAAAAGTCTATGTTAATTTTTCACTTGTGACTTGATTTCTTGATGGGCTGGCGAACCGTCTCTTAAATTATTTTTGAATTTTCATGTCAAATTATGAATTCTTCTCTTGTAAGTCTTGTCTTTGCTATCTGGAGATGATAGTAGTTGTCTATCTATGCCTATCTGTAAAATTATCATAATGGTGATAATTTTACTTATCATAATGGTGATAATTTTACGTCGAAGAATGAACGAAATACATAATTTATCAAAGAGAAGAGTAAAGGTATTTCTCTGAAATATTAATCGACCGCTTTTGGACCACATTCTATGTTTCCAAACTCATTTTTTTTCCATGATCAACTAACCGGGAATTTAACAAAACTTTCTTCTATTTCTTAGACAAACCAGTTTTTGACAGGAATACATATATCATTATATTTATGATCGTTCATGTTATTTCATTCTTCGTCCAAGCTTCCCTCAGCAAAATGAGTTCCAAACAAAATAAAATTTTGTCTACTCGTATATACATTTATTTTTGTCCAAGTTATCACTCTCTTTTCCTATTTTCAGTCAGATCTACTATTACTGGATAGGTATACAAT